CCCCCCCCCCCCCCCCGGAGAGGTCTGAATTTTTTTTTTTTTGTCGGGTAGGTGTCGGAAAAAATGTTTTTGTGCGCCCTTGCAGCAAGTGATATACGGTATCATAGCGAGCCATGTGAGAGGTGTTACATGGCATCGCGATGAATCAGAAATAATATTTCCGATGCACATAAACATATGCAGCACCAACACAACCACCACCATCACGTCACAGGGGTCGCGTGTAATCTCACAGTAAGATCCTTGACACGCAGGACAGTCGTTGGCGCGAGCCTTTCCTTCGAGGTGTACGAGTAGCGACGGAAGAAGCCCAAGAGGAGGTGTCCCAGGTCGCGCGGCTGCTGCTGCGCTCTGCCGCACCAAACGCACGGGGGACGGGAGAGACGCCGCGAATCAAAAAAAAAAAAACATGACAACAATGAGGAGAATGGACGGCAAACAAAACACTTTTAGTTTTGGAAGAGAACGAGTCGCGCCAACTCCCTGTACTTTTCCTTTCTTTGCCCTGAGTGTACGTCGTACCTCTCGCAGCCACAAGCCTGAAGGTGTGACGCGATGAGAGCGTAAAGCTTGAACGACCCAACCCCTCCGGTGAAGGGCTTATCCAGGCCTCTCTGGCGCATGAAAACCTTAGCCGAAAAAGGACAACATGTGATCCAAAAGGGAGAGAAAGAAGGAAAGGACACGGTCATAAGACGGCGACTAAGTAGGGTTTCCACAACAAGAGCTCGTGACTATCTCGAGGCTAAGAAGGGCCTCTCTGGTGCATGGAAAACTCTCAACTATGATCCAAGGGCAAGAAAGCAGCAAGAGCAGGAGGGGAGAAGCGAAACGACACCATGAAAGAATACCCCTGACACAAACAATCGTATAGTTTGGACGAAACAAAGACTTCTTGAAATGCCGCATACACACGCAAGGCTTCCCCAGAGAAGAAAGTAAAAACGCAAATTCCGTTCAAAGAAAAAGAGGCCTTGCGCCTCCTTCCCTTGATTGGCTGTGTCGGCCACCGGTGCAAGAAGGACACCTCCATCAACAGTAGCAGGGTGCAAGAACGAACAGCGCCACCAGCAGCAGCAGACGGGGGTGGAGTGCGAATTAACCGAAAAGGACGACAAACAACACGACGCTCGCCGAGTGCTCTGCAAGTGCCTGACTCGAGTACTGGTCTCGCTGGCACGGTCGTCCAAACGTCAAAAAAGAGTCGGGCTTCTGGACACGTCCATCGCTCTGCCGACGGCACCACCCACGCAACCACCGCTCGAGACGAACTCCAGTAGCATAGAGGACCCAGTCGGCACCGCCGGCGACAAACGTTGGGCCCCACCTTGAGGATCAAAGCCAGGGGGCGGAACGTTCCCGGAAACATCTTGGCGAAGTATGTCGGACCGGGCGCTTCGGCGGGGTCTTCCCAGCAGTCACCCCCTCCCCCGTCCCCAGCCCAGCTTACGTCGCAATCAACACCCCCTCTCGCATCCAGCATGGCGATAATCGGAACCTTCGAAGAACACCCATCGAGAAGGCGCAGGGACGAAAGGGTATTCAGGAAACGCGGGACACGGTTGAAGGCACAACAGCAGCAAGTAGAGACAGGCAACGCACCTGACACACAGAAAGCGAGCGAATGATTGCATGTGCTCATGAAATCAGTCCCGATGCGCGAGAAGCTTGGTACCTTTCTTCAACAGCCAGTGCTAGGAAGATCATGGCCATGGCTATCAGGCAGGAGCACGGTGTCAGAGGAAGGTTGGGTAGGGACGTGGTGGCGAGATTTCGTCTACGTAATAGTATCGGGCCCACGGGGCAAAATCGCGACAACGGGGGAAAGAATCCACCGCCGTTCTCTGGCAGAGAAGCCGAAAGGCATCGCACTCCTCACACACAGCCACGTGCACCACCGGTAATGGTGACGGTACTAGCAAAAACGCAACGGATAGATGGCACATGGTGCGTACGGAGCACAACATATTGTCGTGGCGGCATTGGCGCGTTTCTTGTTCATCATTTTGGGCAGCGGAGTTGTAATCAACGGAACCACACGTTCTAAAAGTACCAACGCGCAACAGGGAGCACGCGAAGGGTACTCGACACAATCGCTGCTACTTTCGGGTATCGTTGAAATACCTCTCCCCTCAATATTTTCCCGGCCATTTTACATGGTAAACGAGGCCATCTCAGCTCAGGGTGGTGTATCCTCACAACCGCGGAAGTTATCGGCTGCCCGTCCCCCCCGCCGCACGGGGGGACGTACCGAAACAGAACGTCCCGGGGCGGGCCCCGTCCTGCAGCCCCCTTACTTTGCCACCCCTCCACGCTACTGCGCGATGAATCTCGTGGAGATTCAATCTTTTTTACATGGCCGGCGAGAGGAGTATTTGTGCTGTTCTTGAGTACGTTTGCAAGCTCCCCACCTTGGCGCGGCTTCTGAACTCGAACTTCTCCACCCAGCGCTTCTTGAGCAGCTGCTTACCTGAGGACAAAAACAAGGAAACAAGATACACCCGTCGTCAAAGACACACAAACACCAACAGTACTGCTGCTATTGTACGCTCGACATGTTTGCACGACAAACCAACAACACATTATGTGTGTGTACACCGACAAGTAACCGCGAGTCATCAGCTCGCATTGATTACGTCTCTGCCCTTTGTACACACCGCCCGACATCGTTGGACGACCGTGATACATCATACGCGGACAGGCCCGCACCATGATCGCCTTCCAGAACCTCCTCTTGAGGTTGTGAACATGAGTGCACGTTGCCGCACGAGCTTTCCAATCATCAAGTTGGACAATGTGAACGAAAAACACTCGGGCACTATATACTGCTCAAATCGCGCAACCGGGGCAGAGAGTGACCTGATCCACTCTTCAGGTGGCGTCGCAATAACAACCATGCAAGCACGACCTTGCGTAGCTTCCTCAACTCGCCTACTGCGTGCACACGCCTCACCAATGCCCCTCCCCCACAAAACCTGGCACATATGTAAGACGCTCGCCGCCAGCACCAGCAGCCACAGAGTCGAAAACCCGTCGATAGCCAACACAAGCTTTCGAGACACACGCCCCTTCCGGTGACTCTCGAACTACGGTGATAAAAAAGCGTTCCCGAAAAATCGGCAGCACTACCAGCGCGGCGTACACTATGCTCAGAAAGAAAAGAGAGACCCGGAGCGATTGGGAGGACAAGAGACTCATCAAAAAGAAGACTCGCCTAGCTTCCGGAGACCGGAGACCGCCCGAGCCTTGCCGCCGGCCCTCCCTCCGCGCCAAGGCTCTCTCCCTGAGTCCCACCCGCCGCGTCTACCGGCCAGCCCCGGACGCGCGTGGATCTCTAGAACTCCCCCCGGCGGGACGGCGATTCCCGACCGCCTGCGCTTGGCAGCGGCTTCGGCGGACGCAGTCAGTGCCGCCTGGGGTCACAAACAGCAGCAGAGGAGTTCGAGTTTTGTATGCGCTCGACGGAAAAGGTACGGAGCAAACAAACCCCTCGGAAGATGCACACGTTACTTCATCGAACTGACCTAGCAACAGTTCCCAGTTGTTTCAATACAACATCATGGTTTCAAGTGAGGGGGGCTCCGCAGTATATTCTCGATGTTGAGAAACAGGAGAGGAAAAGGCGGGGAAACCACAAGATGCACGTGAAGGGTGTGTGCGGCACGGTGCACACAGGTTGAGTCGCGCGAAGGGAACACTTGTCGCAAAGCTCACGACGATAAGAGATGGCGATGACCCCTGCCGGCGGTGATTGGTTTCCTTCGGGGTGCCAAGCGCAGGCGAGCTTTGAGTGCCCATCGTTTAGCTAGGCGGGGAAACGGCGGAATAGGTCCGCGCCGGCCGGTTGCGGGTGTCACTCGGTGAGCTTTCCGAAACGCTCAAACCGGGGTGACCGCGCGCGCGTCAATCTCGACGCAAGCGACCCCCGCCCCCGCCCCCCGCCCCCCGCCAAAAATGCATACCTGTAGCCTAGCAGCCCGCGAAGATTCGCGCGAATTTTGGGACGCGGCCGGTCCTCCTCCCCCTCCAGGGTTGCTCACGAACGCCGCCGGAAGACTCCCGCCTCGGTTCCTCTTCTCTTGCTCCCGCACAAGAGCTTTCAGCCCCTCCGAGTACCTGGCCTCCTCGGGATCTTTGGAATACCCGTCGCCGTCTCCGTCTTCGTCTTCTTGGTTGCCTTGGTTGCCTTGCCCTACCGCTGCTGCGGCCTGCACGGGATTTCCGGGACCGATTGCTCCACCACTGCTAGTACCACTCGCTCCGGTATGCCAGAGCTCAGCAGCTAGGCTGGCCGCGATTGCCCTCAACCGCACCGTGCGTTCGCTTTCGGCGCGGATGCGGTCGGCGAGCAGCTGCACGGCCGCACTGGCCACCTCGCTATCGCTGACGATCGCGCTGGTGGCGGCGTCAACAACCGCAGAATCGGCTGACGCGGAAGAAGCAACCTTTGCGACGGGCCGCTCGCCATCGCCTACGTGAGGTGTTGGAGATATTTTCCCCGCACGACTGCCGCTTTCATTTTCCTTCTCTTCCTCTTCCAATTCCTTCTTTCCCACTTCCTCGTCCTGCTCTCCCTCTTCAATTTTCTCCTCGTGCTCTCCTTCGTCCTCCTCCTCTTCCTCCTCTCCCTCTTCCTCCTCTTTCCCCTCCCCCTCCCGCCCATGCTCTCCCTCCACCTTCTTCTTCCCTTTGCCCGACCGACCGCCTCCGTCAGGGCTCAACACCGCTCGATTCCGCCCGCTTTCCCCCTCTTCGGTCACGCGGCTACCCTCGCTTTCACCGGCCTCCAACAAGCCTCTCTTACCGCCACCGCTCCCGACATCGTCCTCGCTTGCAAGGCGGCCCTCCGGCGGTCGAGGGAACGGAGAACGGAGGCGTTTTTTTTCTTTCCGCGTGGGAGACACTGAGCTAGAAGTCGTGTTGGATGGTCCCGGAGTAGTGGTTTCATCATCTGTCCTCGGAACGGCGCCGGGAACGACGGCTGGAATGGGTGCTGCTGGGTCGCCGGGGTCGGTGCTGCTCGCTTGTGCGGTGGTCTCTCCGATGTCTGGTATATCCATGGTATTGCGTTCTCCAACAGCAGCAGCTTCTGCCCGGAGATCCGCGATAGCAACAAGGAAGGAACCGGCAGCAGCAGCACCAGCAGGTTTCGAAGTCAAGGCAACCTCAGCACCGGCAGCAGCAGAAGGTTTCGAAGACGAGGCAACCTCAGCAGCAGCACCACCCGCAATACCACGTTCTAAAGACGCGCTAACCTCAGCACCGGCAGCAGCAGAAGATTTCGAAGACGAGGCAACCTCCTCACCAGCACGCGCAGAAGCAGCCTCGGCTGGCTTCGCCTCAGCGCTGGAGGGGTTTGTGGATGGCAAATTCTTGGCAAAACCCCGGGCCGAAAGCAACTCTACCGCCGTGTCGGCTTCCGCCGCTCCTGCCACCGTTGCCGCTGATGGCGGGGCCACCGGTTGGCGTCCGAAGTTCCCGCATTCCTCCCTGCCGACACCATCAGAGGGACAAAGGGCTCCACCTTCTGCGGCGCGCTCTCTCTCCCGAAGGGCGAGCTTCTGCAACGCCGGGTCCGGGCGGTTGTCGATGTAAAACCCCAACGCCTCCGCTCCCGGTGCGCTACCGCCTACTACGCTGGAACCCCCACGATCGTCGCCCGCCTTGCCAGCCGAGGTCACCGACAACGCGGCCAATTGATCAGGCGGGGGCACCGCCGTATCAGCGGGGTGGCACCCCGAAGAAGGGCCGGTGCTGGTTCCTCCTCGTGCATGTTTCTCCGTAGAACGGCCTGGCTGCCCTGCGGGACGTCCTCCGCCTTGTTGTGGGCGACTAGGGGAGGAAGGTTCTTCGGGGCGGTCTGATTCAGATCCCGACGAGGCTACGTAGATTGCCGACGCCGCATCTGAGGCCGCCGCTGCTTGCGGGCCTGGGGATAGCTTCGAGTTGGCCCCCGCTCTGTCGTCGACGCTTTCTGAATCGGAATCGGAATCGGAAGACGACGACGACGAATCTGACGAAGACGACCCTTCCTCGAAGCCGTCGTCCGATCCCCTCGTAAGGTCTAGGAAACCTCCCAGCGTGCTCCTCGCGGGCGGCTTGCTTCTGCCCTGGCGACCCATCAAGGTGGGCGGGTTGGAAGACGGGTCAGCAAGAGGTCCGAAGACAAGCGGGAGCACTCGTCAAATAGATCAACGTGCACCGCTGTTAGCGCCCCAGCAGAACGATTGCCGAACGGCGGGGGAATCGTCAAGCTCGAAACGGACAAGGCTGAAATGGGGCAGCCAGGGTACTACACGATAGCACTACAAAGGGATACCTCGAGATACCCGAAGTACCGAAAAGTTAACGTGTGTAATAAAGGGCAGATCGAAGTGAAGCAGCATAGATTGCCACACCCCGGCGGCGAATTTTCGTTCTCCAAGCGTGTCGTGTCGTGTGTCTGAGTTTCGGTACCGTTATCTCCTTTGGAACGCCCTCCTACCTGGAACGCCCCGCAAAGGAAGTATTCTGGCAACATGTTGTGCACAAGATACTCCTATCACCACAGAAGACCTACTCATGATGGAGGACTCTCTGCGATGACGACACGCCAGCATGCTGTTGTTCAACACGATGCGCTGTTACTGCTGCTGTCATCTTTGTGGCCGCCGTTGTTGCTCCATTCTCCATAGCCACCTCCCCATGAGCTTTAAAATCGAACACCGCCTTGGTGCTCATGCCGACATCATGCGAGTTGCCCCGTCACAAATCCACAGCATTTTACCCTCGATAATCATCAAGCACCAAGCAAAAATCTCGGTCTTGCCCAGTGACAACATCACCTACTTTGAAACTTGCTGCGAGTAATCGACACAAGGGAGACCGCATCGCGTTTCGAAAGAACGCATGGCCAGACAAACGGGAGACAACAGAACGCCTGCGTGTGTGCATCCCGGCTGTGCCCAATCCGAAAAAATATATATATCACCGGTACCTGCGGCGGAGGAGCAATGCTTGGATCGGCGGGAGGCCTCACGCTGATATCCACGTCCGAGAGGAAAATGGAGAAACAAAGCTCTGACAAAAAAAGTCGGAGGTTTCGCGATGGCGGGGGGTTGGTAGGGGGGTCTCATCGGCGAGTGCAGCGGTGGTGGCGTCTGCATTGTCATCTATGATCGCGTACTTCTCCATGCCCTCGGATCTCTATAAAATGCGAAGCTTTGTGAGTCGTGAGCGCGCTGATTGAGACTCCGACAGCCGGTTGAACAGCGGGCTTCGGGCCCTGAACCTTTCTAGCCCACTCGTGCGGTTGGCGCGCTTCGAACGATAACGACTACGTGCCGGCGCGGCCCCTACTACCTCGGGTACAGCATCACGTTACACAAAATTCGCCGCGTTCCGAAAAAAAACGACAACAATGAACGAACTCAGGAAGAGAAATCAAACACATGCAATTGGAACATGGACACGCAACGGGTATTGCGGGGAAGACTGCAAATGCGGCACGGCCGCGTAGTCACCAGAGAAACCTTAGGCCCCTCACCATCGCCCGCTCCCCCGTAGCTGCCGTACGCCCGGGCCGTCGCCCCGCTGCCTAGAGCCTCCCTCGCGGATGCTTGGACCGACGACACCAGGTTCTCTCTCGCGGCTACCTGATTGGTCGCGGGGGTGGGTGGATGCTTTCATAACTATAGCATCGACCGCGCTAACCGGCTGACAAATGAAAAGACGTCCGTCTTGTAGCGGGATAAAAAAACACAAACCCTTTCTAAGCAAGGGGTTAGGGTTCTGCCGACAGGGGAGGCGCAGGAGTTGGTCGACAGAGTTTGTGTGTGTAGACCGGAAGTCGGTGTCGAAAGCCGGATGGAGAGACTAATACTTCATCGTGGTAAGAGCAGTGGTGCTGTTGATGTGGTGGCGGTGGTGGTTGTTGTTGACGGAATATTGGGTGCCGCTATCTCTCTGCTTGAGACTTTCCTCGCCGGTCCAGTCCCGTTACATTCTGTACTGGTCTGACCAGTATACCCAGAGGAAGGTAGTGTCCGGGAAAAAAGGGTTAGCAACAAATCAAGGCCCATTGTATTTTTGATGCCGAGACACTAAATTGCTTCACAGAACGATGTTTTACCACCCAGGAAAGGGGAAAGGGCGCGGCGCTACAAAAGTGGCAAGGTTAGTTCATTAACAGACCAAGAGCAAGGGAAACATGAAAGAGACAGACGACTTGGACGGACAAGTTGCCAAGAACGGCAGGATTTCGGCAGAACATTCGCGAGCTTGACACGCGAACCCTTGAGAGGCATTTAGGGGGGGGGAGGGGGGGGGAGGGGGGGGGGGAG